GGGGGGGAGAGAGAGAGAGAAGGTTCTGTTTCTAAATCAGAGCAGAATTGGTTAAATACACTTGTTTATATTACAGCCTCATTCAATCAGGGGTTGAGTTTCGCAGGAAGAGGAGGGCGACGGAGGGGAGGTGGAAAGTTCTTCCCCCCACTTTTCCCAGGGTCACAAGGCCGGGGATTTGGGCTATTTTGCTTCCCAACGCGACTCGCGTCCTCGCCCTCGTTCCGGTCCCAGCCGCGGCCGGTAGCGGAGCGCGGAGCAGGCGGCGGCGGCGGCCCCGGGATCGGGCCCGCCGCGGGAGGAAGGGAAAGGGAAGGGAATGGATGAAGAAGGGAAAGGGAAGGGAGGGGTGGGGGAAATGATTTCCCTGGCCTAGCCCCTTGGCAGGCACTCCTGCACGAAATTCAATCTCTATTTTTTTATGAGAAGTAAAATAAATTTGCCGTCTAAATAAATTTTATTAGGGGCAACCAACATATTTTCTGGTAGTTCCCTTTTCCCTTTCCAGTTCTACGTGTTTTAACAATCTAAAACCTATCTATTTGGGGAAAATCACTGGATCCGTCATAGAAAATCCTTTTACTTTGCTCTGGAGTGATTTCTGAAGACACCCGGAATATTTTGGGCCGTTGCGCTAGAGCCTTCGCTTGTTAGGAACATGATCATGCGGTGAATACCTTAAATTATAGCGGGGAGCGGACTTGACTGGCAGTTTTCTGGCTACACTGGGAAAATGGAAAGATGACGGGGAATAAACTCCCTGTAAATACATCTGCACTGCCCCGGTGAACTGCGGCACTTGACAAAACGGGAGCGCGCGGAAGTTTAGGCCATGAGGGGTTTTACATAAACCTCCCTGTCATTCCCTCCGTGACACGCCGAAGTGCCAGGCGGGCTCGCTCTTCCCTCTCCTGCAGACTTCCCGCTCTCATTTCCCCCCTTCCCCGAAGACGCCTGTGCTCTGAAGTCTTGGAAGAAATGATTTAGTTTGTTTATACTGCTATAAAAATCAAGAGCAATAGAAAAGTCATAAAATGAAGCGCGCTATCAATCACCCCGCAACATTGTTATTCAGCAGTTACTAACAGAGATTGATAATGCTCCGATTTCATTCCATTGTTATTGCGCTGATGTGCCTGCACATTAACTCTTACACATTTATTTATCGACCTGAAACGCACAACAACGCGGCAGAGGCGGCCGCCCCCGCGCAGCCCGCGCGGCGCTCCCGCGCTTTGGCTCGGAGCAGCGCGGCTAAAATAATTTCCAGCCG